ACACCGAGGCCAGATTTTAGGGCGGGCCGGGCGTTTCGCCCGAGACTTCCTCATATTCTATGACCCCGAAGCTTACAAAATGGCAACGGTTTCACGGATTGAGGGCGCTTGGTTCCCTACCTAGGCTCTGCCTAGAAGGGTCCTTGCTCTCTATCTTAAAAGGGCCGGGAAGTGGACCCCGCCCCGGGCGGTTCCCCCGGTCACCTGGGAGCGGTTCCCCCAGTCCCCTGGGAGCTTTAGCTTTAGCTTTAGCTTTAGCTTTAGTTTTAGCTTTAGCTTAGCTTTCGCTTAGCTTTAGCTTAGATTTAGCTTTAGCGTTAGCTTAGTTTTAGCTTAAGTTTAGCTTAGCTTTTTAACTTTAGCTTAGCTTTAGCTTAGCTTCAGCTTCAGCTTTAGCTTAGATGTAGCTTACTGTCAGCTTAGCTTTAGCTTAGCTTTAGCTTCGCTTTAGCTTAGCTTTAGCTTAGCTTTAGCTTAGCTTGGCTTAGCTTTAGCTGAGCTTTAGCTTAGCTTTAGCTTAGCTTGAGCTTAGCTTTTCGCTTCTTCTCCGCCACCCAGGCCCGCTTCTTGTCCGCCTGCTTGGTCACCGGCCTGGACTTCGGCTTCAAGCGCTGCTTGCACTCCGCAACCCGGCACACTGCCTGGGCCTGGGCCCGCGGCTGCCGGAGGGCCCACGGGGTTCGCTTGCCCTGCGGTCGCTTCCTGAATTCCGGCGCCTGGGAACCCCGCTGCACCAGCCGCTTAGGTCGCAGAACGGTCCTCCCACGGATCTCCGGTCAGTGCTTCCCATTCCTCCCGGCCTGACTGTCACTACTCCGTCCGGAACGACGGCGGCCCCATGGCCCAGCAGCAGGTCCACCACCTTCTCGGCCAGCACCTGCGCGAAAATGTCCACCTGCGCACCCCAGGCCGCGAACAGGAGCACCAGAGGTGGCTCAGCCATGCTGCATGCCGCGCGCGCGCCCCCCGCGCGTTCGTCGTCTGACAGTTCCGTTGGGCCGCCTGGTAACTCTAGCCAAAATAGTTTGAGCCAAAATGGCTACGGACCTCGTGCTGGTGGACGAGGAGAAAAGGAGGAGGAGGAAAAGGACGAGGAAGAGGAGGAGGAGAAGCAGGAGCAGGAGCAGGAGCAGGAACAGGAGGATAATCAGGAGGAGGAAGAGAAGAAGGACGAGGAGGAGGAGACATGGGAGGAGCGGGATCAGCCCGAGCGTGAGCAGGAGCAAGACCGCTGACGGCAGACGGCTCGACCGAGGCCGCGGGCCGCTGCCCATACCCGCGCCCCCTCCTGCAGCACAAAACTCGTCGGCGGCGGCGGCGGCGGCGGCGGCGACGACGACGACGACGACGACAACGACGACGACGATGACGACGACGATAACAACGACTAAACTCCACCCCTCCCGCAGCGACCTTCCGTCGAAGCTCAACACATTCCCCCATTTCTTACATTCCTTCTCGCCCTCCCGCATGTATCTCCCGTTCCACCCCTGTTTAGTTTCCTCCGCTTTCCCCCCTGCCTTCCTCATCCTCCTCTTCCTCCTTTTCCTCCTCCTCCTCCTCCTCGTCCTCCTCCTCCGCCTTTCCACACTGCGCTTGTCCAGCGTTCTCGCAAACCCGCCAGAACGGATCTCAGTTCAGCTCCAATCCTGTATCTGTGTCCTTCCAGCACGATTGCGTCCAACATGTGCCGTAGCTTCCCCTGGCGATGAGAAATCAACTCAATGTCACCGGCACACACAATGCTCCGTAGTAACCACATACTCGGAATCGCGTCCCAAGTAGAGATCAGAGGAAGCGTCGCGCAGCATCGTAATTTGCACTATCATGAACAAACACGGGGATCAAACACATCCCGATGCGATGTCAGCCGCTTGTCGCCGCTGCAAAGGACTTACCGGAGTGGTCAACGATGGTGAATTAACGGCACGAATAAGCACCAGTGACAATCTACACGAAGGGACGCGGCAACCCAAATCGAGACAAAGCAGCGCACAAGCAAACTGGCTTAAGACGGTCGAGTGCCTTTGCCCAGTCCAGTAAAGTAGAAGAAGAAGAAGAAGACCACCACTGTTTTCCAAGAGCGCTGCGTCGATCATGCGTCTCACCAGCATGAGCGCGTCAGCGGCGCCCCAGCGAGGTCGGAATCCGAAATGGGAGTTTCGTAGACGGTTGTTCGCGCCTCCTTGATGCTGTCGCTACCGTAGCATAGCCGCCAGAGCTTTGTACTCCACCGCACGAAGTGAAATCGGGGGATATTTGCTCGTCAAAGTTGCTTTCCTTTCTTGAAGAGTTAGATAACGTCCGCCGTTCGCCATGCTTCGGGTGCCTTTGTTTGTCCATCACCTTTGGCTTAAATGCAATGTATGGATACAACCCTGCAAAAACCAAGTGGTACATCATCTGGCCCTGCTGCTCTTCCGATCTTCATCCTCTTCAGAACGTGGGGCAGCTCAGCCGAGGTAAATTGGCGCACGTCGACGGGGAGTTCCGCGCCAAGAGGGCGCGCATCCGTAGGAACGACCTCCGGGAAAGTAACTGTCCACTGGAACTGCTCGAAGTAATCGGCCACAGCTTCAGGACGGGCCGCTCTATCGGTAAGGTTGTTTTGCAAATCCCTGACTCCAGCTTGATTGGTTTGAACATTATTCCCAGCATGATCGGTTTAACACTATTCCTTACTTGCTCGTTTGCGCCCCCACTTCCCCCAACCGGCGAATCGTTGATCCACTTTGTGCAGTCTGCCCAAGCAGCCTTCCAGTCAGATTGAGGGAGCATTTGCTGCGAAAATCGCCCATTCGCCTGTGTACGTTTCTCTGTTAGATGAGGTCGGTCCAGAGTAACCTTCGATATCCACGAAAATCAATATCGCCAGCATAATAATAAGAATACTCATCATCACCATCATCATCATCATCATCATCATCATCATAATCATCATCAGCATCATCATCTCCATCATCATCATCATCATAATCATCAGCATCAGCATCATCATGATAATCAGCTTCATCATCAGAATCAGCATAATCAGCAGCATCAGCATTAGCATCAGCATCAGCATCATCAGCATCATCCCAATCGTGATCACCGTCATCACCATGATCGTCATCTCCGTCGGCATCGTCATCATCGTAAACATCAGTATCATCATCAGCATCATCATGATCAGCATCATCATCATCCCAAGCAGCACCAGCAGCAGCGTCGCCGAAATCAGTATTAGCAGCAATATCGGCATCAATATCAATATCAGAATCAGCAACAACATCATCATCATAATGACAATAATAAGAAAGAGAACAATGATAATAATAATCAGTATCAGCATCAGCATCATCCTCACCATCATCATCAGCAGCATCTTAACCATCATACAATCAGATGCACCAGCATAACTATCAGCATGAGCACCATGATCATCATGAGCAGCATCTTACTCCTCCTCCTCTCATCATCATCATCAGCAGCAGCATCATGACCACCATCATCATCAGCATCATCCTCAGAATCAGCATTCTCCTCATCATCATCATCACCATCATCATCATCACCACCACCAGCATCATCATCATCATCAGCATCCTCAACCTCATCATCGTCATCATCATCAGCAGCAGTAGTGACCGGAGCAGCGTCGTCGTCCGTATCAGCAGCAACCTCGTCATCTGCATCAACATCAACATCAGCATCAGCATCAACAGCATCATCACAATCAAACAGCAAAACTATCAACTGCATCATCATCAGCATCCTCAACATAATCGTCGTCATCATCAGCAGCAGCATCAGCATGCTCAGCATCGTCAGCATTAGCATCATCATCCTCATCCCCATCCTCAACCCCATCATCGATCATCGGGATCAGCATCAGCAGCGGCAGCAGCCGACGTCAGTTTTATCAGCAACCTCGATACCAGCATCAGCATCACCATCAGTATCAACAGCATCATCGAAGTCAAATGCATCAACATCATCATAATATTCATCCTCATCAGCATCATCAGCAGCAGCGCCATCATCAGCATCATCAGCATCATCACCAGCATCAGCACCATCATCATCATCACCATCATCATCAGCATCATCATCATCATCATCATCATCATCATCATCATCAGCATCATCATCATCATCATCATATCATCGTCACCATCATCACCATCATCATCATCAGCATCATCGTCACCATCATCTGCATCATCACCATCAGTACCAGCATGAGCATCCTAAACAGCATGGTCACCCACAGCATCATCATACGAAAACATCGTAGTGGTCAGCAGCGTCATCATCACCATCCTCAACATAGCCAGAATCGTCACCATCACCACATAATCAACACCATGGTCAACAGCACCAGACTCATCATCACCAGCCGCATCAACATCATCAGCATCATCAGCATCCTCATCATAATCGGCAGCATCAGCAGTATCATCCTGACCATCATCCTCATCAGCATTCTCAACGTCAACCTCTACATCACCAGCATCAGTATCATTATCATCATCATCAGCAGCAACGGCAACAGAATCGGTGTCGTCAGTATCGGCAGCAACCTTAATCGTCACAATCAAATGCCTCATCATAACCGGCATCATCAGCAGCATCATCAACATCGCCGTCATCAGCAACATCAGCAGCATCATCATCAGCACCATCACCATCAGCATTACTAGCCGTATTACCATCACCGACATCATCATGATGATCAGCATCATCCTCAGGATCCTCAACTTTAAAGTCGTCGTCATCGTCATCATCAGCAGAGCAGCATCAGCATCGTCATCAGCATCAGCATCAGCAGCAACAGCATCGTCATGAGCAGCACCATCATCAGCAGCAGCATCATCACCATCACCATCATCATCACCATCAGCAGCATCAGCATCATCATCGTCACCACCACCACCATCATCACCATCAGCATCATCAGCATCAGCGTCATCCTCATCATCATCATCAGCAGCATCAGCATCATCATCAGAATCATCATC